TTTGTATTTTATGTTTTTAACACCTGGTCTGTGTTCTGTCGGAGCTGCCTGCGACGCGCTGATGAGATCCAAAAAGATCGAAGTCGCGATCCGCGTCTGGCGGTTTCGGCAGAATACAGACCACTTCGAATTATTATAAGTTATCCTAATCTATACGTTTACCCTTGGCCAAGAAGCCAAGAACTTATTGGTTTCTATTTAATACCAATCCACGATTTAGAATTTCAACTTACCCGTCCGTGGATCTGCCCATGCATGGTATATGGTGGTCAACCATGTCAAGCTTATTTGTTAAAGAGTAACACAATCCCATCCCATTGTATGATTCAGTCAAATTCGTGCTCCAAATATACCTATGAGCACATACAACTACCTTTCCCCCTGGTCCCTGTGACCTAACGTTAACACCCATCCATTGCCCGTTTTTCAACTCATCCCTACCAGGAGGTTGTAGTGCACTTGGATTAAGTTCCTCGTCATAGTCGGCGGGCGCTAAAAATCGTCCCAAATCAGAAACTACTATTCTTAAAGACCACAGACACCTCAAAGATGAATAGACTCGGAAGAAATGTATTCTTACAAATGATCGTTTATAAATCAGAAAAAAATGGTTTATTTTAAGTTATGAGGTCTTTGAGATGTCTTCAAAGAAGTCCAGTTATGTTTACAATATTAAAAGTGCAAAGGCAGAATGCGAAAATAATTTTATAACATGGCAAAGGCTGGACTTCTTTTTGAGATAGGGGTTAGTAAAATTGAAAAAGTAAGTATAAAATAGAGACCTTATCGTAAGAAGAAAAAAAAAACATTTTGCAGTAAAAGTTCAGATATATATGCCTTTAATTAATTACAATCTTCTAGTGCAGATGCAAAAAGCTGTGTCTAAACACTATAAATAACAATAATCAATATCATTATTGCATTTTCTTTTGCTGCTATCAGTACATAGTATATATTTCTTTTAGATCCGTAAGCAATACGGAGTTAAGTTTCTTGATTATCATAAAAGCGCTTTGTGTAAGGCTAAACTTTTGAGATCAACTATTTTATACCCACAATTTGATAATTAGAAAGTTAGGTCGTCAGTCGAATTTGATAGAATAAAAACTGCAAAAACTTTGTAGCAAAGCCGCAAAAAAAAATTATTTACATATTTTACAAAATATCTCAAAAAGGAAATCACTTCACACGTCGGTTATTACTTTTTTTCATCAATCCAGATATTTTACATTATCTGACATTCAATAAAATTGCACTTGTCTAAACTGCGATTAAAGTCAATCTTAAAGAACAATCAATGGCAGGCATTTAAACATTATGACATGGTTTCGGCACCTAATATGATGCATGGCTGGTCAATTTGTACTGTCGAGAAATAAATGCACATTTATCAATACCAAAATCAAAACCTAGACTTACAATTAGCCATACTCGCACGACCAAGAACAAGACCAAACGCAAGACTTATTGGCAAGATTCTTGTAAATTTTTCACTTAAATTCTAATCGTTATCAGAATGTTGGACGAGATCGGAATGATATAGCATAAGGTAATATATTTGAGGATGCTACATAAGAATACAGTGTTTGTCCGGAAAGTAATGGGACTGATATCCTTCCGCCGCGACTATACTTCGGAGCGTGCGCGCACCGACTGGATTCGGTAGAGGGCATTCCTAGCTAACGAACGAGCGGCTGGTGAGTTGTCCCCGAGTACCTGGAGAATCAGAACAGGCTTTTTCGCGAGACGTGTTTCTGTGAGTGGTGCAAGCCGAAAATTTAAACATGTGTGAAAGTGACCCCCAATTTTTGAATAACGTAATCACAGGTGACGAGTCATGGATCTTTGAGTACGATCCTGAGACAAAGAAGCAATCTTCCGAGTGGCACACGCCGGCGTCTCCTCGAACAAAAAAAGGGAAGAATGAGCAAATCCAAAGTGAAAACGATGCTCATTGTCTTTTTTGACATGAAAGGCATCGTCCACTGTGAATTTGTTCCTCCTGGACAAACCGTCAACGCCAAGTTTTACGTGGAAGTGCTCAAGAGACTCAAACGAAGGGTCAATCGGGTCCGACAAGACATCGCAGCCGACTGGAAGTTGCACCACGATAACGCCTCGGCTCACACCGCATTTCTTGTGGACAGCTACTTGACAAAGGCCGGCATCCCAACGCTTCCGCAGCCGCCCTACAGCCCAGATGTGCCCCCCGGACTTTTTTTGTTTGCTCGCCTGAAAAGGCCGATGAAAGCCAAGCATTTTGAGACGACAGAGGGGATCCAAGCAGCATGCACCGCGGCTCTTAAGGCTATTCCGTGACGCCTTCAATGCTTGGAAATCGCGCTGGCAGCGCTGCCTCGACGCAGAAGGAGCCTATTTTGAAAGTTTTTAAAGAATTGTAACGATTGGCTCAATACATTTTTTTAAATCAACTCAGTCCTATTACTTTTCGGACAAACCCTGTATGTTGTCGAACTTCAATCAAAAGGAATAACGTGGCGACAACAGTTACCCCGTCTGTGTTGTATTCTCCTACCGTATCCTTAAGATTTTAATAAAGAAGTGAAGTAACAGAACTTTAATCATAATCCAAAAAGTGGTCAATGGTATACAATACCTACAGAGTGTTTCTGAAACAAGTAATAACCTTGCCAGAAATGATGGGAGACTAATTAGTCGTCCACTGTTTTCGAGAAAAACGTATTTGAATGTACAGTTCGGCCCTGGTAGGGTCACGCAGGGAAATACAACATTGCAACGCCTCTTCCATCAGCTACAGCAACCATATTGTAAGAGTATTTATTTTGTATTTTATGTTTTTAACACCATATCGAGGTGTACTTTAAATAGTATACATATTATCAGCAATTAACAAAGCAGTTATTTAATTAATTGTAATCGCAATGGACGTCTAATGATTATTATGTGTAGTACCGTACTAATAAGCTGTTATTATTTACTTTATTAGTCGCTCCACAACCGTCACTATTTACATTTTTCATCGATGTAATTGCTTAGTTGTCATAGAAATTTCCTTATACGTTGCCAATTCACGCTCAGGGCCGGTTTCGGAATGCAACATTTTTTTTGTCCCTTCAAAGTTTACTGCTTATTTCAGTCACTCTCTAAATTAAAACTGACCAATCAATGCACCCACAGGTGCCGATTATTATACCAGAATGCCTAAATGCGCCCGGTGCCCTATTTCCAATTATAATCAATTAACAAATTACTGAATGTTCTTACTAATGTAAAAATATCATCCTTTAATAAACGAAGCGAAAAAAAAACAATTCATTTAGTGGTCTCACTGAAAAAGTGATTAAAATGATGTTAATTGTTAATATCATTTAGTACATGTGGGTTGATATTATTATTATTGAACTCAAAAAGCATGAAAACCCAAAAATCTACGGCACTGTTAATCTTTTTTCTTTTAGTTCTTTCTCATTATTGATTAATTCGTGAAGAATGAATTTTTTTATAAATCCAAAATCCGTTTGTCAATAAGCATTTCAAATATTTTTTTATATATCAATTATTAAAATACATGCAGGCAGTCCATGGTAATGGGTATAACTCGAGCTACAGTTGTTATTAGGCTTGTTAAGTTCTGTAAACCTGATCGATATATATGACGTAGTGAGGGTTAAATATCGTCATATAACTGTATGAAAAAAAAATTAATGCGAAATTCAATATAGGATGGAGTAGTAAAATGACAGTTTCTCGAAATTGTGTGTTGTTTGACAGTGTACTCGTAATTAATAAAATGTAATTATGTAAATTTAATACAGAATTTAAATAAAGTTGTCGTCTGTGTCTACGACAATTGTAATTTACTTGATCAATGCATATAGCGAGTATATTCGCATAAATCTGTCAATTATGATTTTTATACATTTCTCGAAATACTAAAATTGCATTCAAAAACAAAATGTAAGCACCAAAGCCAAACAGTACGTAAAATGCAACCAAAGAATGCAATCTCAAGTGAACGTTAAATTAAATAATTTTTTTTTTTGAAATATAAAATATAAGGGGAAAATCGGGGGCGACGACCCCAAGTTATCGTCTTGGTTTAAAAACGGCCTATCTCTACTACTAAAATTTTGAAATAACAAGTTACAGCGAATTTTGGTTGCATTTATAATATTTTACAAAAAGCTTAAGAATCGACATGCAATAAGTAGAAAAAGAGAAAAAAAGACAGACATCATGCACAATAAACAACACATCTGCAAGCTACCGTGCAGGGTCCAAGTAATGGTACCATTCATGGTACCGTAACTTGGCTGGAGAAGATGGGAGACCACCACTTACGCGTGTATTGCCCACCGGCCTCTGGTCGAACAACCCGAAAAAAACAAAAATACAATTACACGTTAGCCCCAAAAAAAATATTACTTGGGCTTCACAATACCATGACACTATTTATAAATATATCCCATCGCTTAAAGAGCAAATATCGCTTTTCCAAAATATTTAAAAATTAGACAACAAAATAAACAACCAGTTCCATGCCTATCCACCCATTATCCATGTTTTACCCTTGACCTTTGATATTCATCAAAAAAAGGGTGTTTTTAATATTGTGTTTTATAATTAAAAAACTTTTGTAGGGTTCCGCACCAAAAAATTAATAAGGTACTGTTATGATCAAATTCCGTTCGTCACAATAAAGGGGTCTACAATTTCATTTAGCATTATGACTCTTGATTATGTCACTTCTATGTTGGCGAACGATTAATTAAGAAATTCGAAAAAGATTGTCAAAGGTGTATGTTTGGAGTGCGGCGCTGTACGGGTGCGAAACATGGATGGTGNAGTAAACAGCCAATCGCAATAATAATAAAAAAAAATAATTTAGAAACCTCTAGGAATTTGTTTTTACAAGCTTAGCTGTATGATTTCGTTTCTTTCTTTTAAGAGTAAATGCAGAATACGCTTACGTATGTTTTAACAAAAAATCAATAAATTATTTTAAACTACGACTAGCATTACTCGATGCATATTAATATTCAGTCCGCTTATACGATTAGCTAGCTAAACAATAAAATATAATAATAAGGTTGAAAACTTCAGTTGAACATTGGCATTGGACCCACACTAAGGGATATTATAAAAACTCAAAGTTTTAAGTACTTTACTCATTAATTACAATAGTACTAGATCGTCTCAATTCGTTGGCTAAAGTCATAAACGTCGGATTTTCCTGTTGTTGCAATACAACCAACTGTTCTAAGGATTTAAAGAAGTGATTTCTTTACTTACCTTTCTCTTTAACTTCACTTTATTTCACCACTTAGGGGAGTCCCGCTCTTTTAAAATTTGTAGGTATGTACAGTTTGATCTTTTTGTATCACTCAAGTCCTTTAAATGTCCTCGTAGCCTTGTGTTGGTGGGTTAAAGTCGCAAAAAATGCGACAAAACTCCTTTTGTTACTTATTTAACAACGTTTCTTGTTCGTTTTGCTTCGTCAGGTTTCCGGATAATGTTGGATCGCTGATACGTTTCCTCTTAAAGAACCCAATCTTCCACAGTACGAATATAACAATTAAAAGCAGCAGAAGTCCCGTCACTACTGCAGCGATTATCACCCAAAGTGGCACACCCGTGTCCGATTGAATTAACAGATCCGGATACGCCAAAGTCTCGGCCTAAAATGACATCATTGAAAACTACTTTTATCAATTAAATATTGCACATCTAAAATTGATAAGAGATACAATAGACACTCGATACTGTAAACCAAAAAAGCAAACACACGAATAAAACATCAGGGATTTACAGTAATGACGAAATATCCATTTTTAAGGCCAACAGACATTTGTTTCTATAAGCGAAGGTATACAATCACCTAGTATAATATGCTGTGTATATTATGCGGCGTTTTCATTGTATGATGTTTACATTATCCCGTGTCTATAAATTATTATTTTTTTTTGAAGTTGCGGCTACCCTTAAGCAAAGTTCGAGCATTCTATATTTAATATAAATATTTGGCAAATATTAAACAGGGCACAGTAGTATTACGTAATAAGTATCAGCAATTTCTTATGCTGAAGTGTACGATGTGTTGCATACCTATTTACAAACGATTCGTTTAAATTTAAACACAAAGAAAGTGATTAATCAAATTGTTCACAAAAGTGAAGTAATTGTGTTAACAGTTTCGAGCTTACAGTTACTGATAGGGGGGAAAGAACTAGTTTAAATTAAAAAAAAAAAAAGATGCTGGTAAGACTTCACACTTCTTACCATGGCTGAATCATCAAGCCAATTGTCCTGCTCTATCGTTGAATCTGGAATTTTAAGTTCAGCATGGGACGATATGGTAACCCAATCCACTTTGCTGTAGTCTTCCACCAACGTTGAGTTCCACAGTCGTGACTTGATCCTTATGGTGGCTTCTTCACCCTTATCTATTTGTGCAATATAGCACTTTATCGTTATACATTTTGCCGTCATCCTGTTGCAGTCCTGTAAAAATAGAAAATTTGTCATCCTAAAAACTTAAAGAAAAAACAACTTAAAATTTGTTTAATCCACCGCATTGCTACAATTTTATTTTATTTTGACCCAAAATTTTAGAAGATAAATAGCGACAAAGTGACACCTTTTCACACATTTCTATTCATAAATCTAAACATAAAAAAGTATAAAAAGAGGTAAGTAAAACCCCACTTGATCCTGTCATTTGACCTTTAAATTTCTAGTCCTCCTCCCCTTTTCCTATTAAAATAACGACTAGTTTTAAGACGTAGAGTACTAGTATGGGGCTTACCATAGCTACAATTTGCCTTTTCTTCCCGTCTTTCCCAGTAACAGTAATGGGCTTTACAACATACTCAACATCCCTCTTCCGTCTCCTAGCCGGTGGTAGAAAGGCCAACGATGATACCAATCCAGTCTGATTAAACGAAGGAGGGGCCAGAAGATTATCAGGGGGCGAATCTTCTCCACTTTCGAAACGGTTTGTTAAGTTGAGCACATTGACACCTTGACTCGGAGTAACAAAACAATAGTCCTTTTCTTTACCTGTGATAATTAGAAATAATAAACAGAAGTATTTTTTAAAAGAGATGAGATAATAATAAAATGAGGAAAACTTGCCTTCGATTTGGGGGATGTCTTCCAAGTATAAGAGCCACTTTCCCTGCACCTTGTCGTTGGCAACTTGCCATGGCCATTGGATATCAACTTCCAAGTCAGTGACGCGCCAGGGACCATCGTTCACGACTTGGTAAGTGTGCCAGACTCGTGAACCGATGTCGTCGAAGTATTTCATTGCAGACTCACCCTTCACTTCACCTCCGTACATAACATACGAAGTTGCAGCACTGTAACATAAAAACAAGTCTGAAATTTTTCGTTCTATTAAGTCCCTTTAGAATTCGAAAAAGCAATTAAAAATTGTAATAAATAAAAAAAGTTTCTACCTTATTATTTTCAGTTCTGCTTTTTTACGTATAATTGCCGTCAAGCTGGCAGTGGTTTGGTCAGACAATTCTTCAGACGTTGAATTGACGATTATATTGAACTTGAGTTCATTTTCTTTATTAATTAATGGTTTTGTCTCGAATCGGAGCCTTAAATTGACATTTTTATTGGTCGGAAATGGGTTTCCAAGATTGCAAACGACAACGGTATCGTTTTTAAGGGTACACTTGATATTACCCTGAAAAAACACCAAAATCATTAATTAAAAAAGAAATGTTCAAATGAACGACGTAAAAAATAAATTAATTAAAAAAATAATAATAATAATAACGAACCGATTTATCAGCAAGTGAAATATAACTTAAGGAAATGGGATGCATCACGTAAAGTTGCGCTTCATATGCAGATTCTCCAAGGTTCGAAACGTTGGCTTCAAGAATAAATTCATCTAAACCACCCAGATTTAATAAGTATTCGGTCTCGTTCATCTCTGAAAATGTCAATTATAAAGTTTTATTAATGCAATTAAAAAAATGACCATACTTTACCTTTTAATAGGAGGGCAGCATTAAGGATTAATTTACTTTGACAAATGTCATCACTGCCGCAGTCTTTTTGGAATGTTGCTTCGAAATTTTTGACCGACGTCTGATTTAGAATTGCGGAATGGGGCTCGTGATTAGCCAAGGTGTAATTCACCCGAAACTGAAATAATTAGCTAATAAATTTGAAAAAAATCAATTTAATTATAAAAAAATAACGTACTTTGATTGGTGATAATATATCTCTCGTATTTTCTTTTATATAAACTGTTTCTTCGGAGCAATGGCCTTTCTTACGTTCGTTAAGGGTGATATGCTCAACTTTGTAACTGTGGCGAATATTGGGATCGGGGTTTTTGAACCAAACTCTCGAAAACTTTTTTTCAAACGTTTCGGCTTCAATAGCGTACCTCACTACGACCCCGTTTAGAGACGTTTTAGCTTCTGCAGCATTTATTTTAAAACAGGACCGGAAAGATAAACTAAAAAACAGTATTTCAGTTAAACATATTTTATACAATCACTTTCATACTTTCTTTTATGGAATCATTATACTAATGCGTGAACAAAGAATTTTTTTTTGTTTATTACACATCATGTGTGTATATTCCTCTTAAGACAGATTAAAAATTAATTAAACCAATTTATAATTAATACCGGTAGAAAACACTTTAAATTAGACGAAGTTTGCCAGAAATATTGAACGACTCAGTGGTAAAACTAATGCTGGCCTGTCACACGGGTTCAATTCCCTGGCGAGTAGTTATTATTTTTTTTACTTAAATAGCATAAAGTGATAGCTAAACAACTTCTAGTTCAAATATGAATAAACAGAAGCAGAAAAATATTTTTTTTACATTCTTCTTATGCTCTAGGTGTTATAAATAATAAAAATATTTAAACATACATACAATTTAGACATCCTTTTAGAAGTGAGTTAGTTTAAATATGAATTTATTACTGAATTTTTTACCCACTACCTCAAATTAATGAGGGAAAAATTGTTGCTGTTGTCACACCCCCGCAGGGAATCGAACCCGGGACCTTTGGCTTTACGCACCAATGTTCTGACCACTAAACTACGAGCGGTGACAACAGCAACATTAATTTGAGGTAGTGTGTAGTGGGTAAAAAATTCAGAAATGAATTTTCAGAATAATATTTCATATTAAACTAACTCACTTCTAAAAGATATCTAAATTATATGTATGTTTAATCATAGTATATTCAGTATATAGTTACATTAGTTCGACGGATCGTTAACCTTGTAGGTCGGTTGGTCGTGGTTGTTGTTGTCACCTCTCGTAGTTTAGTGGTCAGAACATTGGTGCGTAAAGCCAAAGGTCCCGGGTTCGATTCCCGGCGGGGGTGTGACAACAGCAACAATTTTTCCCTCATTAATTTGAGGTAGCGTGTAGTGGGTAAAAAATTCAGAAATGAATTTTCAGAATAATATTTCATATTAAACTAACTCACTTCTAAAAGATATCTAAATTATATGTATGTTTAATCATAGTATATTCAGTATATAGTTACATTAGTTCGACGGATCGTTAACCTTGTAGGTCGGTTGGTCGTGGTTGTTGTTGTCACCTCTCGTAGTTTAGTGGTCAGAACATTGGTGCGTAAAGCCAAAGGTCCCGGGTTCGATTCCCGGCGGGGGTGTGACAACAGCAACAATTTTTCCCTCATTAATTTGAGGTAGCGTGTAGTGGGTAAAAAATTCAGAAATGAATTTTCAGAATAATATTTCATATTAAACTAACTCACTTCTAAAAGAT